CAGGATGTAAGCCAGGCAATGAGTACAGCTTTCTGACCTGTTTGTGACGAGTTCAGTAGCTATTTTCAGAGAGATTTGATGCATCCTACTTAGCAGGCTTTTCTCAGGATCAATCAAGCTTGTTTAAAAAGTAATCATACTGAACTGTCGTGTGTGATGCTGCTGAAGACATTACTGCAGTATAAATCCTGTTACTGAAACAAGTGCTGAAAATTAAATGATCTCTACAGAAGCTCTGGAGTTGAATTGCTTCAGCTCATGCTCTCAATTAATGAATCTTTGAACAAGAAGGAACTCGCTGCTGATGCTCGCGAACCAAAGGGAGAATGATTACATTGTTTACCTGCCGTGACAAAATGGGCGTCCCCACCTGTGGAGCACGTGGAACACCAGTGAAAGGATGTGTGGTGAACGCTGTGGGCAAGCAGTGGCACGTGGAGGTAAGCATCAGCTGACACGTGATCTGTCACACATGTAAGGGCTGACGTGTTTAACTGGAATATCGCCAACCAGCTGCTGTGAAAGGATTAGAAAAGTGTGCAGCAGCGATCAGCAAATCATCACTTTTTTCCCAAAGTTCTGTCACGCAGCTGTTGCAGCTTTGCTACAATATGCCGAGTTGATTCAAAGTTCCACTGATGCTCCTAAAGCACTCAAAGTGCTTTTGGGGGCAGTGAGGAAACGGCTCTGACAGATTCGTCATTAACGTGCGTTATGCGGCAATCCAGGCCTCCTTGGCCTGCATGAATTCAGTTTCCCCGCCGCGTTCCATCTCCCTTCGGCGCGGCAGTGGAGCCGGAGACCCACTGACCATGGCGCACTGAGGCACCGCGCCGCATCCCGTTCCTACCTTCCTCCCGTCATGCACTGCGCGACAACAGCCGTTCCGGTTTCGGCGCTGCGGTGATTGGTCCATCCTCTCCCCCGACCGGAAGTGAGCGTTCCGACAGCGAAGTTGGAACCCGGCGAGCTGCCGGCCGGGCCGCGCTCTGTGCAGCTGCCGGCTGCCCCGCTCGCATTCGGCCCGTCGTAGCGCGGTTCCGGTCTGCGGCGGAGGCCGGGTCACCCCGGAAAGGAGGTTGGGGGGCTGGGAGTAGCGCTCCGTGTGTCTGCGCTGAAGCGGCGGGGCTCCTCGGGCGGAGCGGCCCTTCCTGGGGCGGAACGGAGCGGCCTGCAGAAAGGCCGGGCTGCGCTGTGCCGGAGCAGCGCGCGGGGTGGGATCGAAGCTGAGACGGCCCTGCTAAGGGACAGAGCGCTGCTGGGCCGCTTAGGCCTATGGGGAGAGGCTCCCGCTGCTTCCTAACGAGGTTCAGCAAGGCCGAGTGCCGGGTCCTGCACGTTGGCCACAGTAACCCCCATGCGGCGTTACAGGCTTGGGGCTGAGTGGCTGGGTGACTGTTAAGAGGAAAGGGACCTGGGGGTGCTTGTCTGAACACGAGCCAGCAGCGTGCCCAGGTGGCCAAGAGGGCCCGCGGCCTCCTGGCCTGCATTAGAAATAGTGTGGCCAGCAGGAGCTGTACTCAGCTGTGGTGAGGCCGCACCTCGAGTATTGTGTTTGGTTTTTGGCCCCTCACTGCAAGAAAGACATTGAGGCCTGGAGTGTGTCCCGAGAAGGGCAACGAAACTGGTGAGGGGTCTGGAGCACAAGTCTTACGAACAGCAGCTGAGGGAGCTGGGATTGTTTAGTGTGCAGAAGAGGAGGCTCAGGGGAGGCCTCATTGCACTCTACAACTTCCTGAAGCTCCTTGTGATGAGGAGGGGTTTGGCCTCTTCTCCCAGGCAACAAACAGGACTGGAGGAAATGGCCCCAAGTTGTACCAGAAGAGGTTTAGGTTAGACGTAAGGCAGAACTTTTTCTCTCAGAGAGAGAAAGAGAATTAGGATAGGCTACTGGCTGCCCAGAGAGGTGGCGGGGTCGCCGTCCCTGGCAGCGTCCAAGAGGCGTCTGGATGAGGAGCTGTGAGATCTGGTCGAGTGCTTGTGGGAGCAGTGGTGATGGGAGGGCAGTTGGGACTAGATGATCTTGCAGGTGGTTTTCAACCTTGTGATTCTATGATTCTAAAGCTGTAGTCCAGCCCTGCTGCTGCTCTGTGGCACAAAGCTCTGAGCAGTGCTCTGTACTGTTAGCGTAAGGGAAGTCCGAGCCATGCAGTGTGATTCACAGTCAACTTTAAGCCTTTTTGTTTTGAATTTTAGGTGGTTTTGCAGAGGTGAAACTCGGACGGCATCTTTTTACTGGTGAAAAAGTTGGAGCAAAAATCATGGACCAAGTTGCTTTAGGGGTAAGCCAAAAGATATTTAAATATGATGACACCTTCTGTTGCAGTTGTGGAGTTCTCGAGAACACAGGGAGGTGGTATATAGAAATGCAGCCTACTAGTGCCATTGCCTTTTGAAGGATGCTGTAGGAGTGGAAGAAGTTCAGCAGAACACCACAAATCTTGTTCCTCATTGTTCAGAGGGCAATGCTCTCTGGCTGTAAAATGGAGGAAGTTCAACATTACTACAGCAACTTTAACAAAATGCTAATGAAAATACTGGATATTTTACTTTTCAGCTTTCTCTGATCTGTGTTTTAGAATTCCTATGGGAGTAATGTCAGCCATTGCTGAGTTGATGCTGAATTGTGTACTGTCACATACAGGCTTTGACATCTTATGTTACACAGTAGTCAGATGTGGTACCTGGTGTGCCAAATTCGTTAGCAATTTCATAGCTTGCTTTTATGGTCTCTTAAGGATGACTTGCCTCATGTTAGAACAGAAATTGGTGCCATGAAGAACTGAAGTCAGCAAGATGTTTGCCAATTGTATCATGTAACAGAGACATCAAAGAAAATATTCATGGTCTTGGAGGTAAGAAATAGTGTTTCTGCCACGCTTAAGGCTACTTTTTTATCTTTAGCAGCAGACAATAATATAGAAATGAAGCTGAAATGAAATGATTCTTAAATATCTCAGTGGTGAATGGGTTCAAGATTCATTGGTTTTAAAATGAAGAATGCAATGTTCTATATTCTGTCTTTCTGTAAAAGGCACGAATCAGCATTCACAGTAAGGGAACTGGTTTTAATTCCTAACTCACACTTCAGTTTTTAAAGTAGCATCTGCAAGGTCTGCAGGACACCAGAGCCCCCACGTTGTTGCCATCTCCTGAGTGATTTATGCCACCCATGACATTGAGTGCAGTGCCTCAGTTACCAGACTGGAGGCAAGGGTCAGATTGTGTAGCTTGTGTGGTGTGCCACAGTGCTGGCCCATGGCATAACTGGAGCACTCTGTACTGCTCTGACTGAGCACGGGGAATGGTGTCCTGTGCTTGCTGTGCTCTCACTGCTGCTTATTTTTCTCGGATGCATTCTAAATACGTTGTCAGATAACTTTACCTTTCTCATTAAAGCATTGTCCTGGAGGGAAGCTGTTTGATTATATTGTTTCTAAGGACCACCTTTCAGAAGAGGAAGCTCGAGTCTTTTTTCAACAGACTGTTTCAGCACTTGCTTATGTTCCCAGTCAGGGTCATGCCCACAGAGACCTCAAACCAGTAAGTCTGAACTGTATTCAGTCTTTCATAAATAACAATGAGCGTGTTTTTATTTTTCCATTGGGAGAGAAAGTTGTCCCTTTGTGGTTGTGGTTTATTTAACCTGGCAGGTGCCTGAGCATCACGCAGTGCTTCACTCAATCCACTCCTTTCCAGTGAATTGCAGGAGGTAATGGAAGGGGGAAGAAAACCACACAAAGTAGAACTCATGGGTTGAGATAAAATTATTTACTGAGGTAGAGGAAGGGAAAAGGATAACAGTTCTGATGAATGCAAAAGCAATTGCTCACCACCTACCAATCAATGTCCAGTTAGGCTCCTCGTAGTAGAAGAGATTCACATGAACTTCTACGCCCTTCAGAACTCCTTCCACACCACGTCATATGGTGTGGGATATCCCTTTGGCCAGTTTAAGTCAGCTGTCCTAATTCTGTTCCCTCTCACTTCCTTGGGCTCTCAGCTGAGAATGACTTTGGCTCTGTGCAACACTGCCTAGCAGTAACTACAGGTGTCAGCGTGCAGTGTGCTCCAGTTTTGTGCCTCAAGGGAGAGTGATCCTTCAAACAAACAGTGGCTATGCAGAGTATGGGATGAGATGCATGCCTTGGCTCCATCCAGTGGGTTTTCTGTCACTGAAGGCTTTAAGCACGGGTTAGATACTGGAAGGTTTGAGTCTTTCTACACAAGTAGGTTAGAACTTTGCATTTCTTAAGTTGCTGATATCGCCGAGTAAAGCAAATCATTACAACACAAGCATTTTCCTAGGCATCTTATGAAATCCTCGTATCTAAAGAATCTTTCCCCTCTGAAAAATAAAGCATTGCCTATACTTTTTGCAAGGAACTGGCTTCCAGCTGAAAAGCTGGTGGATTCACAGGCTCAGACAGGCACTTGGAATGGAGGTGACTTCTAGAGATTTGTGCCTGAACCTGCTGCTGCGAGAACCCTGACACCAAGTTTCTCAGAGCTTTTTCGTTTTCATGCTCAACCTCTCCCAAGGATGAGGCTGCATGCTCTCTGTGGGCAATCTGTTCAATGCTTGAGCAGTTTTGTTTCCTTCTGTCCAGTCTGCTGTTTCCATGAATGACTGTTTTCGGTCACTATCCCACCATGACCTGCTGTACGGATTCTCAGGAATCTGTCTTCCTTTCTTCATGCCTCCCTAGTGGGCGTTTAGAAGTTGCCATGAGGTTCCTCTGCACTCTGAACAAACCTCTTTCTCCCCAGTTTCTCTTCTCTGAGTGGGAGCTTCAGCTCCCTGCACTGACTGGAGGCCATCCTCAAAGCTTGCTTCAGGTTGTTACCTTCCCAGCCAAAAACTAACTACAGTATTGTAAATGTGGTCCAATGAGTGTGCAGCAGGGGTGACTTGTCCTGGTCTGGTTGTGCTGCTTTTGAATGCAGCCCATTATCCTGTTGTGCTTTTTTTCCTGTCAACATACACTGCTGGCTTGCATTCATCTTGTGGTCTTTCACCACTTGTCCTCCTAGTCCCCGGGCCCTTTCTAACCCACCTAGGGTATGGGAACTTGTTAGCAGTCAGTGAAAATCTCTGAGAGAGAGACAGAGAGACAGAGAGAGAGAGAGACAGAGAGACAGAGAGAGGCAGAGAGAGAGAGAGAGAGAGAGAGAGAGACAGAGAGAGAGCTAACCACTGACCACATGAAGAAATAACAGAAGAGAAAATATGTTTCCTTGAGCATTCAGGTGAAAATAATTCCTGACTGCTTTTTCATTCACCAGGAAGATCCGCTGATTGATGAGAAACATGTTTCTCATAATTTGAAGCTGACAGACTTTGGACTCTGTGCAAAGCCAAAGGTAAGAGTATCTGAAATCAAATATAATGTGCCCCCAAGTAATGCATGTTTTTCTACAGTATGCAACAGGGACTTGCCCAAACACCCTACATTCAAGCTGTCTCTGTGGTTGACATGCAGTTGCATCTTGCTTGGAAGGGCCTTAGCTGTGTGAGAGTGAACAGATTGCTCAGAAGCACACTCAGATTCTTTTCTCTACCCAGACTTCCTATTTTCACAGTCTAACTGTAGATAATCTTGTACGTGTATCACCTGTCTTATGCAAGGGCCTGCCATAGGAGCACTGGGCTGGCATGCCATTATCTCTTCGAAGGAACTGTGTGTAGATTGAGATTATGGATAAAACCAAAGAGTTTTGCAGGTGACAAACAGATCCTGTGGTTGCATATGCTTGAACTGAATTGTTTCTTGATCTTAAAACGGCTTGTTAGGAGCCTTTACTTAACATGCCAGATGGGTGCTGGTGAGAAAGAATTCAATGGGAAGAGTGCCTTCCTGATTCAAAGAGAATTACTTATCCTCAAATCGCTTTTCCTGGCCAAATTTAGAGCCTCTCGCAGGTAATCAAGACCAACAGGCTGTTGTCCCAGTGGTATAATGTCATCTTGCTCTGACCTGTTTAGCACAAAACCCAAGTAGAGTAATAGGATACTCTGAATAAGGAAGTATTCTACCAGTTGTTCTTTGTCAAGTTTGTAAAGTGATTGCATGAAATTGCTCTAAATGACCAGCGAGCCTCAAACACAACAGCTCTTGCATGACTTCTTTCTCAGTTTGGTGTTTGCACAGACAGTTCATCTTAGTAGGTGATCAGCTGAGAAAAAAGCATCATGCCAAGGATACATCAGATAAGTGAGCAGCTTGGGATCTGTGTATTTGTACAGTGCTCATGGTCTTAGACAATATTTGCTTAGTGAGGTCACCTATTGAATGAAAGCCAAATATGTAGTGAATGAAAGTATGCCCAGGAGAAGAAGCCTCTGAGGCTTCTGAAGTGTCACTGCAGAAAGCATGCACTCTGTTAAAGCAAACTCTTCTGTTTTCTGTGTTATTCCAGGGAGGCCTTGATGACCGCCTGAACACGTGCTGTGGAAGCCCAGCATGTGCAGCACCAGAGCTAATCCAGGGCAAAGCCTATATTGGCTCAGAGGTATGCAGACCAGAGTTTGTTTGTTTTGCACCTCTCCCCTCTTTCCCTCCCCAGAGAGCGTTTAAAGGCAGTGCAGCTCAGATACACTCACTTGGTTCCCCTCCTGAATTCTGCTGGGTTGCGTTGCTCAGTAGCTCTCAGAAGCTGTCAATGGCCACAGACTGAAAAGTGCAATGGGCCGCAGTTCACACAGCTGGCTGGTTTGTCTCTGGCTGATCCTCATCTGTCTCCACCAATTGTTCCCTACTTTGGGGCTCTGTAAAACAGCAACTTCAGAGGTCTCCTACTATTAGTAAGTTTTTGAAAGAGCAATTTGCTCTGCTAATTGTCCGTCATTGGTCAAACTCTTGTGCGGTCTCAGGATCTTAGATGTTTTGTTAGACTTGTCTTTAGCTTCCAAGTTGTGTTGAAGACTTGCTTCCACTGTGATGCTCAATGTACTAAAAATTGAGAGATGAAAACGTGAAGAGTTTTTCCAGCCTTGATTTCATGTCTAGAACTTTGGAACCCACTACTTGCAGTTGTTCAACTGGTCTGGTTTGAAATGCCCTGGTGCTTGTTGAATTGCTCTGCTGTTAAAGATGGAGCAATTCTTTCGGGTACCATTGCACCGCTGTTGATGGCTTCTAATTCTTGCTTTCTTTGTTTTCCACAGACTGCTTTTCAAGCCTCCTTTTTCTTTACAGTCAAAGTGAGAATTGCACTGTGAGGTGTAGAGCCTTGTTGTGCCTGTACATAAAGAGAACAGCAGCAGAGCCTCACAGCTGACTGCTGGCAGCTCTCATTGTAGCCAGTAGCACGTAACTGTGCCAAATCCTTTGTGATGGGTTTGATTTCATTTTTGCCAGTGAAATCCTTGTAGGTATAAGGTACTGCAGAAGGGTGATGAGCTAAGATGGAGATACTGGTTTTCGTGGTGCTTTAAGTTGAGCGGAAGAGCAATTGAATTAGGGTCATATGCTTTGTCTGGAGCCATAAGGTTTTTTTCCTGGGGGAAAGAGCCAGCTTTTCGTAGGCTGTATGTGGCCTTTGGCAAGGGCAGACAATGCAGTCTGTCAGTAAGGCATTTTAGGTGCTTCAGGTTTGTAAACTTGTCCTTTTATTTTTCAGGCAGATTTTTGGAGCATGGGTGCACTGCGGTACGCTCTGCTGTGTGGGTTTCTTCCTTTTGACGATGGCAGTGTGATGGCACTCTACAGGAGGATAACAGGAGGTATCGATGGTGCTAGAATACACTGAGAAGGGAAATAGCTGAGCATGACGAGAGGCCTTGCTTTTCTGATGGCAGAACATGCTGAGCTGTGCTGTGTGTGGAAAGGCCTGTCTGCTGAATATTGTCCCCTTTTTTGCTGCTTTGTCTACCAGTATTTTGTGGGTTTGGTTCTGCACTTGGTTGGCCTATGCGGCGCTGTAGCCTGATTATATAACATGGTAGCATGCAGAGTTTGAGGAGAAGTGTTTGCTTGCCAATGGGCTAATTTCTGTATCTGGTTCTTCAACTGGCTGCTCCCTGTACTACCTGTAGTAAAAATAGAAATACATCGTTTGATTTACCAGAAATGAATGTTATGGAATGCCAGCTCTTCTCCTGTCTAGGAAGAGCACAGTTCTGCAGCTGCTATCAGAATTTCCTCTTCCAGAACCAGGAGGAAATGTAGGACCCCACTGATTGCCTTTGAATTCAGCAGTTCGTTCTGTTTCCTTTCAGAGCACACAACAACCTGAGCGTGTGAATCAAGTGACGGCTTTTCAGGCTGGTGTGAACTGTGTTGTGCACTGAGCCTTTGTCCCTTTGTAATTAGGACGTTGTCCATTTCTGCAGGACTGCAGAAAATCCTTTGTGCTAATCACTACTCCAATTTGCAGAACGTGGCAAATGGAAAATGATCCAACTGCTTCAGGTGCACATTTCCTTAAAATTGTGGATAGTTTTGGACTGCGAGTCTGTAAGCAGAATGGAGCTCTTAAAGCTGTCCAAGATTGTTTCTGCACCATTTAGTTCTATCTGTCTGATGCACACAGGAGCTGAGGGCTGCAGTGCTTGAACTGGTGGAACTTGTTTAAGTGAACTGGGATGAACAAGTTTCAGAACTGAGTCAGAATGCAGTAAAAAATGGATACTCTCACAAGTATTAAGATACTGGCTTGCTATTTCTGCACTGAATTTGTTTTGATTTTATGTGGCTGTGATCTGAAAAGTGCTTGGAATGCAGACACCGAGGCATTGTTGTGTCATTGACTGTCACACGTTACAGATCCTGAGATATCCTGGAATCTAAAACTCAGAACTGGTTTAAGTCTACTGCTTGAATCCAATCACAGCATCTGTGTTCAGTGTTCTTTTCCCTGCAATGCTCCACGTCACTTCATTTGGGAAATACTTAAGGAAATTGACTATGTGCCGTAACTGTTGTTAGAACAAAGTATTTCTGGTGTGCTGTTGGGCATTTTGTAGCTCTTGTGAGCAGTTTCCCTTCCAGCATTGCCCTCAGCCAAGCACGTGTGAATTTTTACCATTACATTTATTCAAGCTGTTCTTAAAGCAGAGTTTGTAATCTCTGTTCCTACGCTTTGAAAGAAAAGAGATGTCAATATCATCCAAATAATTTAATAGTTCCTTTTGAGCTAGTTGTTGAAGGTTCATTCTCAATCCTCTCTTATTTTAGTGAAGAAAATAACTTTTTTATTGCAGAGAGGAAAAGACACTGTTCCAAAATGGCTTTCCCCTAGCAGCACGCTGCTACTTGACCAACTGCTGCAGGTAAAAGGGCTGCTTCTATTCAGATTGATGTACAAAATGCTGTTGCATCAGCTCAAAGCATTGATGGAGTGCTTAGAAAATATGCGGTGTTTAAACAAGTTAAACTGCTCCACGCCTGATGTCCTTGAAGAAAAGGTTAGCATTGCCTTGTGCTGAAAATTCTCCAATAGTCACGTAGTACTAGTTAATGGTTATAGAAATGATTGCAGTTTTAATAACTACACAGTCTTCAAGCAGCTTGCATTTGGATGTTCTTAATTGTGCTGTGTGATTAAAAGTGATCTGTACACAAAAGCTGTTTCTCAAAGGAAGCTGAACGTACTGAGTGTGCCTTTGGGCTGTATCTATGCAGTCTCACTTACAAAATGCTCGTGGAACATTTACTGTAACCATAGGTGCTGTAACTGTTCTTCACAGCTCAGGTGTTTGACCTTCCTTCTGGTGAAGTGAATAAATACTGCTGGTCTCTATTTGTGCTTCCAGGCACCTTGAAGTTGTTAGGAAAAGAATAACTGTCTGCAGTTCTTCTCGGTGATGTAAGTAACAGCTTGAATGTTGCTGCCCACTAGGCAGACCCAAAGAAGCAGATGACAGTTAAACTCCTGTGAAATCACCCTTGGCTCATGCAAGGTTATTCTGGTGCTGTTCAGTGGCAAAGTAAATACCCAGTAAGTACACGCACTCGAAGAAGCCTAAGTATGTTCTGGAGTCTTTCCTGGACCACTGGCATCCTCTCAGAATGGGAGTGATAACACATTTCTTCAGAGGCTGCTGACAAGTGGTGACTCTCCAGGGTCCATTTTGGCACCTTCAACACCTTTGTCAGTGACAGAGAGAATGGAACTAGAGAGCACCTTCAGAAAGCTTGCAGGCAGCCCTGTGCTGAGAGGTGCGGTGGATCAAACAGGAGGTAGGGATGTCTCATCCTGGTGGCATTCAGGGCCGGGTTGGATGAGGCCCTGGACAGTTTGATGTGGTGAGTTGCAGCTTTGCAACTTGGAGCTTGATGGTCTTTAAGGTCCCTGCCAACTCAAGCCGTTCTATGATTCTCTGGAACTGTGCTTGTCCTCCTTATCTCTCAATTGTCTGACCTGTGTGAGAGGTTGGGGTAGCGGGGTTGGGGTGGGAATTGGGGGTGCGAGGGAGATTCTTGCTGCAGATACTGAGAAGTTGCTGTGTATTTGCAGCCAATGGCTGCTGCTGGCCTCTGGGTGCCACTGTTTCTCTGAAGAACAGCTGTGCTGATCGTACACCACCGTGTGCTGTGCATGCCGTGCAACTGAATAATTAAGAGGGGACAGAGGTGTAACTTGTGCTCTAGTGAAAATCTCATCTGCTGACAGGCTTTTGTACTTGAATGCAGAACCTGTTGCCACAGAGGGACCAGTTGCTGAAGCGTGGTGACTCTTTCTGTTTACTCCTTGCAGTATTTAGCCCTGATGCTAACTATTTAAAATAGAAAATCTGAAATGGTGGCTAACTATTGGCTTGATTGGTGCATATCAGAAGACTATCATGGTGATAGTGGCTCTGTGAGATGACTTGGAAGCTGTTTCTTCAGTACAGGTCTTGTTCTTGCAGCTGGGGCACCTTGATGAAGACTGTGCAACAGAACTTGCTGTGTTTCACAACCAGAGCAGAGAGAGTATATCAGCATTAATATCAGAGGTAATGAATGTATGTAACTCATTGTATTTAAGCTCACTACTGCAGTAAATAACCTTTCTGTATTAACAGACTCTAATGCTTGCTTCTTCTCAAACGTGAAATCTTTCATACCTTTCAGAGCTAAGGTACCCCTGCTGAACTCCATAGTCTATCTGTAGCTAATAACTACATTTCTGAAGTTCACACTATTTGTCTGCTTTAATTTTGTTTCCTAAGCTTTTCTGTTATTTTGTACCATGTTAAAATCCTGATGAATCTCTGGAAGTCCAGATAGACTCAAAACAGGAACTTATGGATGCACAGCAGGTGTCAGGTGCTGGCTGAACTCACTGCTCTGAAATGTTTCATTAATAAGTGGAAAATATCAACTCCTCGCTCAGACAACGAAACAAGTTTTGGGAATTACAGCTCACAAACTCTTAAAGAAATGAATCCATCCCAGTAGCTTTTGAAAATGAATGAGAAAAGCTAAACTGAGTGCTTGTAGAAATATTGTATCAGTGTTACTAATGACATTCCAAGCTGCAGAAGAGATTTAAAACACGATGTGTACTCTGGCTTTAACTTGAATCTGAAAACTGTTTCTTGAAATTGAATTGTCTTTCTATTAAATAGAAAGTGGTAGAACTTGGAAGGATTGTTAAGATTTCCAGATAACTTTAGTAGGAATAGATATAAAATGTAAGTTTTACCTAGGGGAGACATTTCTACTTTTTTTTTTTTCAGATGCAGAAAATAATGAGAACAATCTAGCTACAAGGGGAAGAAGTTCTTCCATGTTAGTCTGTGATATTTTCACAGTCCTTTATCAGAGGACTTCTAATGCCTTATAAGTAATTCAAGCTCATTGTGCTACACTGTGAGTCTATCAAGCAATTTACCCATGGTTCTCATAGCAGTCAAAAAGCTGCTGAAAATCAAGTTGAATGTTGATGCTCCTTGGAGCTGGGCTGAAACATGACCCCCAAAAATGGGAGTCCAGCTGAAATACTGTGCAAAGTGCATTAATAGGAGCTTTGCCATTCACTCCAGTAGAGCCATTCTGGCACCAGCTTTACTTTTCACTTTCAGCAATTGTACTGCTCTCAAGCAAAAACAAGAGCAGTCTGCTTCTCTATCTTAAACTTGTTGTGTGAGCAGCTAAGGTCTGAAACTAGCCTGATGTGATCAGACGTGAAGGTTGCACATCAAGGGGAAAATATTCCAGACATGCAGAAACGTTTAGAACGCTAAGCTTTCTTTGTACTGACAACTTCTCTGAAGAGATCTAAATACTCTTGTTTTCAGGTGGAATCGTGACCAGATGTCACAACCTATCTCTTGCTTCAATCCAGGAAGGTTCGTGGCAAGCGCATCCACTTAAGGATTCCATCACAAACGACGTGCAGTACAACACAGCCAGCAAGCCAGGGGTAAGTGTTAGAGTTCAGCACAACATTCTGGTAAAAACACTGCTGTGTGCTAAAGCTCTGCCTGGGTAAACAGCCTGGTGGCCTCAACATCTGTAAGAGAGATGTGTGCAGCCAGTCTTGGTCGTCAGATCTTGTTCTATGATAAGGCCCCCCACTTTGTGTATGAAGGCAGAGGATGTAATCCTTCTAGATTTCAGGGAGGCCTTTGATCCTGTCCCTCGTGGCATCCTTCCAGACAAGTCATCCAAATGTGAGATGGACAGGTACAGGCTATACTGAGTGGCTCAGTGGCAGAGCTCAAAGAGTCACAGTGAATGGGGCTCCCATTGACTTGGACGCAGGAGAGGCGTGCATCCTCTGCAGGTTTTCTTAAACAGCTGATGATATTTAACTGGGAAGTGCTGGAGGCACCCTGGAGGGATGGGAGACCTTGCAGAAGAATCTAGATAGATCAGAGCGTTAGGCAATCAGCAGAGGAAAATGCCAGACATTGTACCAGCAATGGAATAGGAACAAACATACAGATGAGGAGACAAGTGTCTGGAGAGCAGTACTAGGACAGGGTCTAGAGGTGGTGGGGACAGCAAGTTTAACATGAGCCAGTGGTGTGCCCTGGCAGCCAGGAGGAGGGGAACAAAGCTGCTAACAGGACTGGAAGGTGTGTGCTCTGGGAAGAGGCTGAGGGCACTTGCATTGCCTAGTCCAGAGAAGAAAAGGCCAGGAGATGACCTCTTTGCTCTCTGCATCTCCCTGAAGAGGGGAGAGCAGAGGAAGGTGCTGTGTTTACCTGGGAACCAATGACAGGACGATCAGGAATGGCCCAGAGCTGCATCAGGGGAAGTTCAGACCAGACAATAGGAAACATTTATTTGCTGTTAGTGTGGTCAGCTGCTGATACAGGCTTCTTAGGCTGGTGGTTGATTCCCCACCAAAAAAAATCAAAGCCATACAGAGTTGAAGTTACGCAAAAAACTCGAGGTGATTGCTCTTGAAGAAGGACCTTGCACAGAGAAATGCCCTTTTGCTGCATGTTCCCCGTCGGCCGTGAAGACCAATAGTACTATTGAGGTTGGAGATCTTCCTGCTCTGGATTGGTTCCTTTCATTGTCTCTTGGTGGATTGTTTTCTCCAATCTTCAGGACTGTGAGATCTTCCAATGCTTGCAGAGTCTCAATTTAGTCTTTCTTACTTCCTTATCTTGCAGTTAGAGTAAGCTCTGTGGCTTTCTTTACTTGCAGCTGGGTGAAAGTCCAGCAGTCTGTTTCCTTAGGCTTCAGCAGATTTAATTGCATCTTCTAAGCAAGTTCTGTGCAAGATTATTCTATTCAAGTAGCACAACAAATTAGAGAACAAGAATAGCCTTATGAATATAGAATCATAGAGTAGAATCATAGAATGGTATGGATTGGAAGGGACCTTTAAGATTATCTAGTATCTATAGGCAGGGAATACCTCCCCCTAGATCAGGCTGCTCAAAAGTCCTATCCAGCCTGGCTTTGAATGCTTGGAAGGAGGAGGCATTCACAACCTTGCTGGACAACCTGTTGCAGTGTCTCACCATCCCCACTGTAAAAAATTTCTTCCTAATATGTAGTCTAAATCTACCCTTTTCCAGTTTAAGCCATTTCCCCTTGTCCTGTCACTACCTGGCCTCATAAAAAGTCCCTCCCCAGTTTTCCTGTAGGGCCCTTCTGGTACTGGGAGGCCACTACAAGGTCTCCTTGGAGCCTTCTCCACATCGATGAGCTCCAGCTCTCTCAGCCTTTCCCTACAGGTGAGGTGTTTCAGCCCTCTGATCATCTTTGTGGCCCTCCTCTGGACCTGCTTAACAACTCCGTGTCCTTGTGCTGAGGGCTGCAGAACTGGACGCAGTACTGCAGATGGTGTGTCAGTGAGAGCAGAGCAGAGGGGCAGCATCACCTCCCTTGAACTGCTGGTCACAGAATCACAGAATTGCAAGGTTGGAAACGACCTGCAAGATCATCTAGTCCAACCACCCTCCCATTCCTATTAGTGCCACAAGCTACTAAACCATATCTCGTAGCTAATAATAATGTGATTTCTGTGATCACAGTGAGTTAGTCTTTCACACCCAGATCATTAGTCTTTCTGGGTTCAGCAACAGTGAAGTTGCTCTATCTATCTAGCTGGCACTTGTGACATGGGTGCCAGGTAGGTCTGGTTAGTGCTGCTATTGAAAAAATGCATTATGCCCTCACATACGATGATGAAAATCACGTAACACAGCAGCCTATCAGTCCTTCCACAGTAGTCAGAACAAACTTCACCTGCCTGCCTGAAGATAAGGCATCTGAATACATGCTCAACCTGCCAAAATACCTGAACAGCAAATGCCTCTAATTAGAACTGGTCTCATGTGAAGACAAGAAAGTGAGAGAATGTAACCTTTCACATAACCTGGCATTGTTCAGCCTGGGGAAGAGATGGCTCAGGAAGATCTTATTGTGAGTGAATACCTGGACTGAGGATGCAAAGAAGGTGCAGCCAGGCTCTTTTCATTGGTGCCCAGTGGCAGGACATGGGCAGAAACTGGACTGCAAGAGATTCTGTCTAAACATCAGGAAAAAATTCTGTGTGTGGGTGACCAAGCACTGCCACACATCGGCCAGAAATGTTGTGGAGTTTCCCTCCTTGGAGATTTTCAAAAGCTGACAGAAATAGTTTGGGGCAGCCTGCTTTAGGTGACCCTGCTTGGGCAAGAACGTAGGACCAGGTGAGCTGCGAAGTCCCTGCCAACCCAGTCTGTGATTCTGTGAATTTGATGGCACAAGAGTATGTGTAACACCACCTTTTTGGAAACAGTTTTATGTTTTTATTAAGGAAATTCCAAAAAAATCATTATGGCCTACATTTCTTCTGAAACACAATAGTCACGATATCCTGCTCAGGCATTCATATTGTAATGGAACGTGATTTCAGTTACAGAATAGAGATTGCCCATAGCTAGCAGCCCTCTGGAAAGGGCTTTTTAGTAAGTCATCATAGAGCTTCCCTAGATCTGCTGTTTCTGCTTTCACTAGCAATGAGACACGTGATCATTGTGACATCTATGAACACAGGTCAGGAGACACTTATCTGTCAGTAGAACGTAGCTTCCAAAAATGCCTCCTTTCTATCTCAGGACTGATAAGGTAGCTGTATGCAGTATTGGCAAAGTGGTATGAAATAAGTCCATGGGAAGGATGTTCCTGAAATCTTAATGAGCTGTTAGAAACAAAAGATGTTTTGATACCACAGTCATGTGTGGTGTGAGATGTGAAGTTTAGCAATCTTGACTGAAATACTGAATTCCATGATTCAGTAAAGAACTTTTGCCTGGGCTTCCTCATAGGCTTCCAAACACTGCTTCAAGCAGTGCTGCAGATTGCGCAGTCATATGTTTTGGATATGACTTGTTTACCTTTCTATGAGCCACTTTCAGACCTCACGGCATTCTTTTCTTCAGTTCTTTCCAGGCTGTTGTTTGACTTTTGTTGAAAAGAGCTTGTGGTCCAAGTCTCCAAATGGAAGGCTCTGAGATGCTGCTCTTGTTGACACAGGTTGTAAAAGATGACTGGAGCTTTAAGAATAATTTCCCTTCTGCTCTTGATATGAATGTCAAATCCACAATTACAATATTAAGAGCATGATATAAAATTGGGGCTGTTGGCATGTGGACTTCCATTAGCTGTTAGCCATAGTTAGGAACTTGCAAAGCAATCATATTTAGATTTTACTGGTATTATTTTTTTCTGATGAAATCTTCCTTTTAATCCTGCAGAAGAATCTCAACTGAACACTTCTTTTCAGTCTGAAAAGGCTGTGACATCTGAAGATGTGCCAGGTTGCAGCCATGTGCCACATGCATTTGGATCCATGGAATTTGCTGATGGAACTTCATTGTTTGAAGAATCTCCACTAGAAGAGTTTGTTCTAAATGCTCACAGAACAAAGCAGGTGTCTGAAGATCCAGTGCTAGTTTCTGACAGAAAAAATACAATTCTTAATCCAGAAATCTGCTTCTCAGTGTGTATAATGCTTATTACATATTTAAGTATCTAGAGGACCTTGACCAAAGGGAGATACAGATTGAGCAAAGAAGTGTGTTGAGCATAAATTGTGATGCCTTCTACCTGAAAGCCATGGTTCATTTGATGAGAACCTTAACTTCAGTGTTCAGTTTGCACTGAAACAGCGAGTAAGGAAACAAGCGAAGGAGTCAGTGAGGATTTTAAAACAAAATGGGAAGTGATAAGGCACAGTTAATAAGATTTTGGAGTTAGGCAAGAGGTGGACAGAGCTTTAAATGTACCGACAGAAATTCAATCTCTCTGTATGGGACAAGAAAACCCACAGTGAAGCAATTCAAATTTCGCAGCTAAAAAAGTGATAATTCATAGCTATGTTTAGATAAGCTGGTGAGGAGTAATCCTAAATGTAGAATTCAGATGAACAGATAGAAAAATGGCACTTGACAATCTATAAGAAGCAAACTCATTTTAGGGGAGAATCAGAGGTACTGAAGAGTTTTTAACTACTTTGCTCAATAGACAAGTAGTGTATGATGTTTTTATGAGCATTGTGTCTGACCTGCTTAGATGTTAGAATTTCCTTGACAGTGACTTCTCTGGATGTGATTGCAGTACCTGGCAGCATTCAAGGTGTGATACTCAGCTGGGCGATATGGAATTCACACTGTCAGCTCCAGTGACAGGAAAAGTGGCATCTATGAAGCATGCAAAGAAATGTGGATGCAGAGTCAGCATTAAGAAATGCGCTGCCCTTTGCACTTCCTGCTCCAAAGGCCTCCTTTCCAAAGAGTGAGACACAGAAGCAAGTGCAAGGCAAACCCCTCCAGGCACCTCCTTCCAAAGGTATGTTGTGTCTAACAGATGAGAACCTAGAACGTGTGTAGCTTAGGGATTTTTTAAATTCAAACGTGAACACAATACTTGTAGATCCTAACCTTCTGTTTCTGGAAGATTTAGGTTTGGGGTTTTTTTGGTCACAGCGCATGTATTCACCAGCCTGTACATCTGACAGTGCACAGCAAGAGGTTTAGCCATATGTCAGGGCAGGTTACTCGTCTGTTCATTACAGAGGTTCTCACGGTTTCACAAGGAGGTGCCTTTAGATGCATCCAGATAATGAGACAGTTGCTGTTCCTAAAACTAGCGCGTGGTTCCACTTCTCGTGGAGATCTAGTAGAAAATTTCTTCAACGTTCATTATGGTTTTTTGTTTTCTTCTGGGCTGCTGTGTTGAGTGAAAGAAAAGGGTAAATGCTTTTATTTAACTGTGCTCTTATTGCATCTTGCTTCTAAATGAAATGTAACCTGTACTTTCACATATCTGCTTGGTGTGGCATTGAAAATACTGAGGCTAGCAATGTTAACAGCTGCATTTACGTGATGGACCAGAAACGTGTCCATGCTGTATCAGCTCCTCTGGGTTACAGAGATGTTTGTCCTCATCCTTAGTGTTGATACTGCACGTGTTCACTCTGCCCTTTAAAGTATTAAGCGCTTCTTACAGTTGAAGATTCTTCTGTTCCAAGTGCTAGGGAATATTGTTGAGAAATGCTCCATCTCTGCAGGCTAATATGTTACTAAGAGTCACTGAACATACCACTTTCCTTTGCTAAGTGTTCAACGAAGCGCATTACGAAGGCTGGTTGTTCACACAGGTTTTATTTTTGTCTTAAGACTGCATGTGGTAACTTCTGATGTTGGTCTTATGGCAAGCTTAAAAAGTGAAAGTAGGTATTTCTTACGTGAGAAGTGCAGAAGTGTGATTTCAGCTCATTTCTGTTAGATATTCCTGAGAGTTAAGCAATTAAAATACTGTTGTTGTTCTATTGGAAGTTCTTGCATTCAGGATAGTTAAAGCAGTGCTTAGAGATATAACAATAAATGGTGGGAGTATCTCTTGGAAGTGTTGAGAACATGGCTGTCTGGGGCCAACTGCTGCTATGGAAAGCTGAATCTTCGAGCTGTATTGAGTTGTCTCCACAAATGCAAAGCTGCTCCACAGAGCTCTTTTCCAACACATGGGCAATAGAACTTTTTAGGCCGTTATTCAACATGTAGTATTAACTGTGGTGATGCAACTCGCACCTTTCACCTGAAGGAAAATGCTTGATGTGGAATGCAACCTTTTGACATAGTAAATTCCTCAGTGTTTGTCCTGAGACCAGTGGCAGAACAAGAAGCCAGTTCTGGTCCTCATCCCTTCCAAACTGTAGTACTGCACTGCGCCGGCCCATCAAAGACTTGAATACAGAGCTCAGGGGGGATCAGTCTCAGTTTTGTGTTTAGTCTTGTTGTTCTAGTTAAAACCTATTTTATCACGCTGGAGATGCAGACTAGAGATAGATAGGAGGCTGGCTTTAAAAAAGTAATTGCTAATCGTGAGAAATCCTGATTGAAGAGAAGTCAATCTTCTACTGCAGAAACATACCTGCTTTGGTTTGGATACTTTCTTTCAGAGAGCCAGTGCACGACAGTCATCGCAGTTAAGAAGCCCAAAACACCAGCAAATACATATGAACTGACAGCAACTGAGGTTCTTCCTGAGAAGAGGTAAGTGTGCAGTTATCTGTATATGTTCTTGGTTTAGAGCAGCGCTACCTCAATCAGTGAACAGCCTAGGAAGCATTGTTCACAACAGCAAGCTGTATTTCCTTTCTCTTGGTTAAAATTCTCCTAAAACCTCTTGTATTCCCTGGGAAACACTGAAAGCAGAAAATAAAAATTAAAACTAGAAGTCACTCATCTTCAGAATGCATTCCTGTCTTCCATAACATAAATCCCATCTTGTTCCATTTTCCCTGTGCTGCAGTTTTAAAAAGCATCTCTGAGCTTCAAGCTCAACTGACATGTAAGCAGAAACTCTCATAATACACGACACTTCCTTTTGTTTTCTTCTTTATCTGATCATATTCTAATAGTGCATATGAAATAACTACAGTCTGATTGCTGAGGAAAAGTGCCGCCACACTAACAGCTGCTGTTATTCCTAATTCACCTCCTCCTCTCCAGAGGCTCCCAGTACCAACACTGCGATTCTCTCTGCAGAGGCTAGCCTCACTTCCAGTGCCCTGTCCTCTCCTCCTCCCCTTTTGCAAGTCATGCTGTTTACAGCAGCAGTCTCCATCTGCAGCTCACTCTCTCACACCAAGTTCTGCTCGCAGGGAACGGTGTGGGGGGTTGCTCTCACCCCAGCACAGATGAACTCACTTTCTCTTTAACCCTTTTTCCTTTGTCGTACCCTCAGTTACACTTCCACATACCCTCCATTCTACTTCTGTATACCAGTAACAATTACCTTTCTTATGCCATCAAAACAGTTTGTCCCATTCCTTTCACAATCCACAAATCAAACCGTACAGTTCTTCAGCTTCCACAAACACCCAGCACTTGGTCTCTCATGATTAGGGTACTCCATTATAAAACTGGTCCCGTTATTCCATTTATGTTCCTAGTTCCTTATTTGATATTCCCCCCGGCCCTCCTGCAGCATCCTTCCAATGTGCCAACATACACCTGAGAGGTGTTTGTTTGTTTGTTTTGTTGGTATTTCTTTCCCTTGCGATCCTCCCATAGCGCTATTTTGTTGTTTTATTAGTTTATTAACGTTTCCACTAATTACTCCTTTTACCCTGAAGTTTCCCCAAAACAATCCCCAAAACTTGTTCCACCACTGTTGTCCACACTCCAGACACGAGTAACACCAATCCCCTTGATGTATCTCTTTACAAGCTGAGCAGAGTATAACATAATCTGAACAAAATAATATGTGAAATATACACCTTTCTTCCGGTCGGTCACTGTAATTTATGACATATGAGTTCCCATATTCATCCCACTCCAAAAAGTTCATTTGCATTTACACTAAAACCATTCAGATTCCCTTTTTCCCAATTTATCAAGAAGAAGAATTTTACTTCTTTATTGGTGAGCGAGAGGGATGGGAATGTAACAAATGAGCCCTGACATAAGGCACTTGATTAAGAATTGATTTTTTTAATGACAGATTCAATTTCGTTTTGAAAACCAAAACAAAACATTTGGCAATCAAAGAAAAGCTCTATAAATACTGGTTAATAAGCTTTAATATCATACCAAAATACTTTTTCACGTCAGTTAACGTAGTTAATAAGGTATTTGTGGGTTTTGTTTATATACATACAATATATGGCTTTATTTCACAAAAACAACAACAACGAACACCAAAGCATTGCTAACAGCAACAATTAGTCACCAAGATTCCCTTTTGAGCCCTTTTCACATTAACCAGAGCAGGGGTTGGCGTTAGACTTGGGTACATCAAGGATTTCGGTTCAGGATAGGGTTCTGAGAAAGAAACAGTCCTGCAAGAGGACTCGAGGTCGGGAACGGACTCCATCAGGCATGCAGACCCCCGGCCGCGTGCCACTGCCAGACCCTCGCCCTGAGTCCAACAGGAGCACCCCAACAAACAGCCCCGTGCCGCCCTCAGCCCCGCGAGACCCCCGCTTCCCCCAGCCCCCAGCGGCCCCCAAAACGCGCCCAGGCCTTCAGGGCTCCAGAGGGACGCCCCAAATCCCCGCGGGACCCCGCAAGTCCCCACGATCCACAGCCCAGCCCCGCAAGGAGCCCCATTCCGCATCCCGAGCCCCGGAGCCGCTTCCGGCCCCAAACCGCAGCCCCCCCCGCTCACGTGACGCGCAGCCCGAGCTCCGCGCGTCGCCTAACGATGACGTCACGACGCCGCACGGCCGTAGCCCGGGCATGCCCTCACTCGGCATGGCGGGCCGGGCACCACCGGAGGAAATGCGCACGCGCACGGCGTGGAGAGGAAGCCCGCCCTGGAGTCGAGTGACGGCCGCG